ATTTTATTCTGGAAATAAGTATTTTATTGCAAATTTCATATAATAACATAAACAAATGAAAATCATTGGGAAAACCCTGAGAAACACTGTGAAGGATGCTGGCCTACCCTATTTTAAACCCTTTATAACCAAAACAGCCTGAGGTTGATGCACGAGTAGAATGACTGATGATGGAATAGAACACTCGGTCATACACTGAAGTGCTTAGAAGCAGTAGTGGTGAAAATATTTCTAATAACTAGTGTTTGGGTTACTGAATATGCTTTAGAACAAACGCATTCATTCCTCACATCATACTTTAAGGTAAAAGAAAAATAAAAAACAAATAAATTTGATTGGTAAAAATCAAAGCTTAAATCATACAAGCAAAGACAACACGGGTAAAANACATCAAATCTTTATAAAATCCATGAATTCATAAAGTTCCTAAAATTCTCTCCTTTGGAGGTCTCTGAAGCACACTTTTATTTTTCTGATAATTGATAAAGAGTGCTGGCTGGTTAGCTCAGCTGGTTAGAGCATGCTGCTGAGAACAGCAAGATCCAGGGTCTGATCCCTGTACCAGGCCAGCTGCCAAAATTAACAACAACAACAACAACAACAACAACAAAAAAAAACCCAGGCATTTATCTTTTCTGAGGTACTGTGAGGTACTGTGATATAGTAGTGTAACACAGCGGTTTATGGAAAAAGCAAGCTTGTATTAATGAAAGAATCAGAACAAGAGCAAAAGGAAAGTTAAAATTCAAAATTGACCAATTTTCAGTTCCTGATGAAGAAATGGAATTTTTTAGACATTAATCAATAAATGCGAAACCACTAGGAAGCTGGTTGACGGATGGAGCACACTCACATCACCTGTACCCACTGATCAACTGTAGCAGAAGTGAAAGTAGGAAAATAACATGAGTGCGGCAGAAGTGAAAGTAAGAAAATAACATGTGTGCATCATAATATGGTGGGAAAGTAGATACACAAACCTACTTCTGAAACATTTCTTCCAAAAATAAACCAAGAAACAATATTAATTTATTCCGTCCTCTAGAAATAACTACCAGCTTATAAGAACACGAGTGATAGGATTTCATGTTAATTGATAACATAAGGAAACAATCTGATCTGGGACCATAAGTTAGCCAAAATCTAACATGGTCAATTCAGAAAAAAATAAAACAGTTTGTAAAACAGATAATTGATATGATGAAAATTGGAGGGAGAACCGTTATACATTAAAACAGACATAATCCACACTGTTATGGACTGAGAGTTTATGTCCCCACACAATTTATATGTTGAAACTCTTACACCCAATGCGATGGCATTAGGAGTTGAGGCTCTTGGGAGGTAATTAGGTCATGAACACGGAAACTTCATTAATGGGATTAGTGCATTTATATGACAAGGCACAGAGAGCTTGTACTCCTCTCTGTATTCTCTGCCAATGTGAGGACACAACATGAAGAGAGCCGTCTGCAAGCCAGGGGCCTTCACCAGACACTGGATGTCCCAGCCACTTAATTTTGGACTTATCAGTCTTCAGGATTGTGAGGGACAAATGTTTGTTGTTTAAGCCATGCAGTTTATGGTAATTTGTATAGAGGCATGCTGTGGTTTGAATGTGTGTCCTCCCCAAGTTTCATGTTACAAAATAATCCCCATTGTGGTGACACTAAGAGGTGGGGCCCTTTGGGAAGTGATTAAGTCTTGAGGGCTTTGTCCTCGTGAATAGATTAGTACTCTTAAAAAAGAAGTTGGAACTAGGGATGATCTTTTTGCCTTACAGCCATCTGCCATGTGAGGACATGACGACGGGCACCGTCTTGGGAGCAGAGAGCAGCTGTCACCACACACCAAACCTGCCAGCACCTTGATCTTGGACTTCCCAGCATCCAGAGTATGAGAAATAAATATCTGTTCTTTATAAGTTGCCCAATTTCAGGTATTTTCTTATAGCAGCACCAATAGGTGAAGACACAGCATGAACTGATGAAGACAGACACATGAGCCAGATGTGGTGTGTGCAGACAAGTTCTGGGGTGTGATACTGTTTTGTAGTTACACTCAGAAACTGTGAAGGACCTAAGACGTTTCTGCAATTGTAAGCTAACAAGTTAGCCTGCCATAGTCTCTGGATGCTGTGGAGACACAAGTCTCCTCGGTCAGAGACAAATGACTTTTTTACTCATGCCACAACAGGCAGCATGAGTTTTATGATGTTGGTTTTCCTTCTGCTCCCACCAACGTACCAACACAAGTCATTGCAGAGAGTCCCAGAGGAGGTTGTACCCACGGTGGGTTTGCCTCACATCTGAGAGACTCTGAGCTCAATAAGCACAATCTATTAAAAGAGACTGGTGGCAAACTTGTCCATACTTTAACTGTATAAAGAGAAGGAGTAATTAAACTTTATGTTCAAGGTCCCCAAACAAATCATGGGCCAGAGAAGACTGGCACGCAAGGGAAGACTGCGGCAGCTGGGTAGTTTCTTCTTCTCCTTTAACTCTTTGACACAAGCTTAATGCTACTTGCTGCTCCATATGCCTCTTAGCATCTGGAGAGTGCTGAGGCTCAGCGGCTTCTTCCTTTGGGTCCCGTAAAAAAAAAAGTGACTCCTTTGTCCTTCCATCTGATACTGTCTAAAAAGAAATGACTATGTTCAGCCTACATCCGTGAAGTTGGGAGTTACATTCCACCACCTGGAGGGTAGACATAGAATATCTATGTAAATTATTTGGATTTCTCCCACAAGGGAGATTGGTATCTTCTTCCCCAACTATTTGTTTTCAATCATTCATTTATGTCAGAATGTGCCATCTACTATTTTAAACTATCAATTCTTGACATCATTTTTCTTCCTTTCACTCTTACCCCATAATAATCATAATAAATCATTCTCCGTCTCTTTGTGTCATCCCATTTCTTTTGCCATACTGTAGACGTGATCTGGGGGTCTCAGAGATAGGGAAGAATTACATTTTGTGTGGAAGAATTTCTCAGGGAAGCAGCAGGTCCATGAGACACACACTTTCCTGAGAGTTCCGCATGCCTCACACCTATTTCCTTCTCTTTCCATGTGAACCTCCTCTGACTCCAAGGCCCATGGAAATGAAGAAGCTTCTCCCTAAGTCTCTAACACTATTTTTGGAAGAGATCACTACATAGTTGTTTCCGATAGGCAAGAACTGGGATAAACTGTTTAACTCCCCTAGTGTGCATTGCCATCGGTACTACAGTTGGAGTGATAATTGCAATTTTGTGGGAGGTGAGGTTTCAGAATCACAAACCGTTATCTCAGGGTCTGGCTGTTTCCCTCTCACACGTGTACTAGTGGCCAGGACCGTCACAGTGAGTCCACCACTTTGACAGCAGGCAAGAACTGAATGATCATTTTCTATATTAGTCTAAGAGGCCACCTATAAGTGCAGTAGCATGTGAGGAACATGGAGAGTTGCTCATATTGGAAAAAGGATTCTTCTTCATAGAAAGAGGCCCAAGACTCCTCGGGATTTAGAAATAATTCCCAGGGCTTGTGCTGAGCTTGTGGAGAGAGACTGGGGTCCTCCAATGTACACCAGTCCCTAATGCCTCAATATAAGTTAATGTAATCGACACTCATAGTGACGTTTGATGTTTTATCCTCATACTAATATAGCCTGATATTTAAGTTACTCTGTAATTATAATTGTGAAATTCATCCACCCTACAAGAATCACAAACACTACCTTCGGGACAAAAGAAGTGTTAGTATAATACTTTTCATGTATTATGAAATAATGATGAATAAAGATAACTAATAAAATAATAATACTGTAGAGAACTGAATGTCTGACAGGAATTGGTACAATGTGCTTTTTTCCTACAGGGATGTGCGTGTTATGTGTTTAATGGATACAAACATGTGTTCTGTGAATTATGGTGAAACACTTTTCCCTCTTGAAATGAAGCAATAATTATTTCAGATGAGATCGGGTACATTCAGGGTGTTATGGCCGTAGACAATTATATCAAGAAAAGTTAACATTATGACTGGGTTTTAGAAAAAAGAACAAATACTCAGCAGTGTGAAGGTTCAGATATATCTAGTATTATTTCTCTGTTAAAAAATATTTTAATATCAACATAAGTTCATAATGAATGTACTGTTATTTCAATTGATTAACACTTCACAATCAGTGAAATCTTCTGCATGTAGGGATGTGAGAGAAAAATACACTTCAAAGTAGATGTTAACTTACAGATAGTACCATGAAAATACTGCCAGTAGACATGAGGCTATTTAAAATATGAGTTTTACTTTCTTCAGGGTTCATATGAAAGAGAACAACCTCTCCACGAAATACCCTTAGAAATGTTGCAAAATTCATTATTCTTTAAGTGGAAGTAAATCCAAATGTCTTCAGAAGACGATTTTACAGGCTTTATTATTCACACCTGACAGAGCATTCAGAACTAAAAAACAATAGACTTAAAACAGATTACAATTTTAAAATTAAAAGTATGTTTTCTCATTACATTCATAAGGTGAATTTGAAATTACATTATATTTAGAAATTATTAATGTAAGCATATTATGATGTCAACAAAGTTTATCTCCAAGATATTTCAAGTTTGTTAGTCTCGAGTGTGAAACAATAAAAAACTTAAGGAAAAGACCACAATTTATATCTACTTTTAAACAGTTATTGCTTTTTTTAAAGCAAAAGTTAATGACCTAACTTATCACGGCCCTTAGCCCTCACGCCCCGGGTCTTGACCCTACGCAAGTCTCTGGACGTGAGCACAGGGTTGACTCTCCCTCTCTGGAGTGAATGGGGACTAGAAATGAAAACGACGTTCTCTTGGGAGTCGGCATGAAGTTGCACATGCCACCCAGGCAGAGTATGCATTTCACATTTCAGTTTGTACCCCCTTCATAGACAATTCCAGGGCTTGTTTAATTACATTGTTTAAACTAAACTTAATTGCAGGAACTTGAATAGCGGGAACTGTATTCAATCCCTCCAGAAGTCGGCCCCTCCCACCGAGATCCCAGTTTCCAGACCGCTGAGATGCTTCAGCCTCACTTGCAGGAATGGCGACCAAGCCGCTGGCAAAAACAGCTTTCAACTTAAACCGTTGTCAACCTGTCAGGAGGAAATCAACTTGAGTTCCCACACAGGTGACCAACTCGACCCTAACGTTTTACCTTAAAAGTGTTTGAAACATTAACTTGAGAAAGGCAGGATCCCACAGAATGACAGACACACGCCGGATTTTCCAAACCCGGAAAACCGAGAAGACTTGGAAGGGACTCGCATTAAAGCGCAGGCCCCGCCCCTGTTCTCACTTCATCCGGGTCTCTGCTCAGGCGTGCCCCCCCACGCCCCGCCCCCTGCCGATCACGCCCCGGCCCCGCCCCGCCCGGCCCCGCCACCCTGTCGCGGTTTCTGCTGAGGCCTGGTCTTTCCCTGCGCGCGCAGTTTTCTGAACACACGGAAGCAGGTCGCGTGGAGCGACG